TATTGATGTTATGTTATTGATTACTATTATATATGTATTACATACTTTACCAACTCCCATATCACCTATTTTTAGTATTATTATAATGATAATGATAATGATGATGATGATTAAATGTGTGTTATTAATGATGATGATAGGAGTAACATGTTAAACATTGATGAATGAATATAGGAATGTAAAATAATAACAACAAACATACCAATAATTAAAATTTTAAATAAAGCATCATGGTCTGACATTTTTTATCTGTTGTTTGATGATGATAGACAACTGACAAGACAAAATTAAATATTTAAAATCACACTTCATAATAAATATTGGACATGATGACAATGAACACACGAATCATTTTAAACAGTTATTTAAATAAATGTTTTATGAAAAACACATCAAGTCATTTGCTTATTATTTTATTAATTATAATTTTATAAAATATTAATACTTGTAATAATTTGTATATGTTTGTAAACTATTATAAATATTATTCATAATATATGATCCGAATGTTAAATATTCACAATGACATAATCATAATTACAATGTTGGCATGATTTCACCTTTGTAAAATTTTAATTTTAAAAAAAATGCAACAAAATATTAGTGTTGGTCAACAACAACAACAAGCCTTCACTAATTATTATGAACAACAACAACCATCATCATCTAATAACAATATAATAACATCATCATCATCATCATTTAATTCTAATATTAACAATAATATTAATTCTAATAATAATAATAGAATGAATCAAAAAGAAATATATACATATAATTCAGATTGGATGATATATTCACTTTCATGGTCAGTTAGAAGAGATGAAAAGTATAGACTTGCAATTGGATCATTTATAGAAGAATATAGAAATAAAGTAGATATAATTAAATTAAATAATGATAATATATTAGAAAGAGTTGCACAATTTGAACATCCATATCCTGCTACTAAAATACAATTTCATCCTTCTGCTTCTATTAATAATCCTGATTTAATTGCTACTTCAGGTGATTATTTACGTTTATGGAATATTAATAATAATAATTCAACAACTAGTACTAGTAATAATAATATGAATGTGAATAATGTGAATAATGTGAATAATAATAATAACATTTCATCACAACAACAACAACAAACAGTTCAAACAGTACAAAAATATCATACATTTAATAATGATAGTTCAAGTGAATTTTGTGCACCATTAACAAGTTTTGATTGGTGTGAATATAATCCTAATATGATTGGTACTTGTTCAATTGATACAACATGTACAATATGGGATATTCCAACAGGTAAATCTAAAACACAACTCGTTGCACATGATAAAGAAGTTTATGATATTTCATTTAAAGATGAAAATATATTTTGTACAGTTGGTGCAGATGGTAGTTTGAGAATGTTTGATTTACGTTCATTAGAACATTGTTCAATTTTATATGAACATGAACAATTACAACCTTTATTAAGATTAGCATGGAACAAACAAGATCCAAATTATATTGCTACCATTTCAATGGATTCAAATATTATTGTTTTAATTGATATTAGATTATCTTCAATTCCATTA